CCCCCCCCAGCTGGAGCGTCGGGAGCTGGAGGGGGCGCGGCGGCAGCGGGACCTGGAGCAGCGGCACCACCTCCTCATGCAGCAGGTGGGCGTGGCCAGGGCGGAGGGGCGTGGCATGGGGGCGTGGCCAGGGCGAGGTCATGGACTGGGCGTGATCCTACCCCGAGGGGGTGGAGCCAAACCCCAGGGGTGGAGCTCAAAGGAGGGGAGGGCTTTTAATGGGCTTTGGGGGCGTGGCCAGGGCTCAGGGGCGTGGTCTGACCCAGAGAGGGTGGAGCCAAATGTGGAGGGCGTGGCCTAAGCAAAAAGGAGGGGCCTTGGGGGTGTGGTCTTTATTATTTTGGGGCGTGGTTACACCAGAGGAGGTGTGGTCTGCTGTGGGGGTGGAGCCATCGCTAAGGGGCGGGGCTATAGCGACTGGGCGGGGCTTGCCCCAAAAGGCAGCATGAAGGGGTGGAGTCACTGATGATTGACGGGTGGGTGGAGCAGTTGATTGGTTGATTGATGTGGGGGCGGGGCCAGCTCTGATTATCAGCTCTGGATGATCGACAGTTGGATGTGGGTGGGGCTAATCTGACGTGCATTGATTGACAGCCCAGGGGGTGGGGCTTGATTTATGGGCGGGGCCAAGCCAACTGACACCTCAGTGAAGGGGGCGTGGCTTGATCCCCAGGGCCAATGGGGAGGCGGCATGGCTGAGGGGGCGGGGCCAGCTGGGTTGTGGGCGGGGCCGTGATGACGGACAACCCCCCAGGACCTGTCGCAGGAGACGGTGGGCGGGGTCTTGGAGGAGGCGGGGCCTGAGGCCCCGCCCATGGAGGGTTACCTGTACAAGAGAGCGAGCAACGCCTTCCGCACCTGGAGCAGGTACCCGGGACACCCCAAAACACTCCAAAATCACCCCAAAACAACCCCAAATTAACCCTGGAACTCCATGAATACCCCAAAACACCCCAAAATCACCTCAAAAACACCCCAAAACATCCCAAAACCACCCCAAAACACCCCAAAAACACTCCAAAACACCCTAAAACACCCCTAAACACCCCAAGCCCACCCTAAAATACCCCAAAAACACCCCAAAACCCCCCCCAAACACCCCAAAATCACTTCAAAAACACCCCAAAACACCCCAAAACCACCCCAAATACACCCCAAAACATCCCAAAACCACCCCAGAATACCCCACAACACCCCAAAACCACCTCAAATCCATCCTGGAATTCCCAAAACACCCCAAATCCACCCTGGAACCCCAAACCATCCCAAACCACCTCAAACCACCCCACAAAATCCCAAAACCACCCCAAATCCACCCCAAATCCATCCTGAAACCCCCAAAACACCCCAAAACCCACCCCAAAACCACCCAAATCCATCCTGGAACCCCAAACTCACCCCAAAACACCCCACATCCATCCTGGAATCCCAAAAACACCCCAAACCACCCCAAAAATATCTCAAAACCACCCTGAAACCACCCAAAATCCACCTTGGAACCCCCAAAATAACCCCAAAACACTCCAAATCCTCCCCAAATCCACTATGGAACCCCCCCAAAATCCCCCAAATCCACCCTGGAATCCCCAAAACACCCCAAATCCATCCTGAAACCCCCAACACACCCCAAAACCACCCCAAATCCATCCTGGAACCCCCAAACCACCCCAAAAAAACCCGAAACACCCCAAAACGTCCCAAATCCACCCCGG